CAAAAGGTTCTACAACAATTGATGATTTGGGGCTGGAGAGATGGCTCAGTGGTTAAGAACACTGACTGTCCTTGCAGAAGACCTGGGTGCGAATCCCAGCACCCACATGGCAGCTAACAACTGTCTGTAACTCCCATTCTAGGGGCTCCAACGACCTCTTCTGTCCTCCACAGGCTACGACACGGGTGCACTTACCTACATGCAGGCAATACAGGCATACACATAAAATAAAAAAACACTAAATAAAATAAAATAAATAAAAATTTTAAAAAAACAAGAAAAAATTTTACTTATTTTTATTTTACATATATGAGTGTTTTGCCTGCATGTATGTAAGTATACCACATGCATGTCTGGTGCCAACGAAAGTCTTGTGGAACTGTTAGCCACATGTAGGTGTTGGGAACCAAACTTTGATCTTCTAAAAGAACAGTAAGTGCTCTTAACTACTGAGTCATCTCTGCAGCCCCTCAGTCCTACTTTTTGACACAGGGCCTCACTAAGTTGTCTAGGCTGCCCTTAAACTTGTTCTGTACCCCAGGCAGATCTTTAACTTGCAGTCCTCTGGTCTCAACCCCTCAAGGGTGACAGCTCTGCAGCACAAGCCCCAGTACATGAATGGCTCTTTTTATGTTTCGTTTTTTTGTTTTTGTTTTTTGAGATAAGGTCTTCATTATAGCTCCAGCTGGCTTGGAACTCACTATGTAGACCAGGCTGGCCTAGATCTTAGAAAGATTCACCTGCCTCTGCCTCCAGAGTGGTGGGATTAAAGGCATGTACCAACACATTGGGCTTGGTTTTTTGTTTGTTTGTTTTTGTCTTTTTTGAGACAGGGTCTCTTTATTGCCTCAGCTGTCATGGAACTACTATGTAGATCAGCCTGGCCTCGAGCTCACAGAGATCCACCTGCCTCTGCCTCCCAAGTGTTGGGACTAAAGGTATGTGAAACTAAAGGCATGTGCCACCATGCCTGGCCTTGTTTTGTTGTTTTGAGACATGGTCTCATATAACCTAGGCAGGTTTGGTACATGACTGGGGATAACCTTGGACTCCTGATTCTTCTGCTTGGACCTCTCAAATGCTGAAAGTATAAACTTGCACCACCACATCTGGCTCTTGAAAACAACACTCATTGAGTGAAAATAGCAAACTGCCGAGTGATTAAACTTATAGTGTTACCTTTTGCGTAAATGAAAAGACAACTAAAGATTTTTGTATGATGTATGTGAAAGTATTTAAAAAGCTTCGTCTACAGGGGAAAAGACAAAGAGGAAAAGACAAAGTTTGGGGCTGGAAGACAAAGGAAACATAGGGTTTTCTGTTTATTTATTTTCCAGTGCTAGGCATAGAACCCTGAACCTAGGCCCTTGTACATGTTAGGTGAGTACCCTATAACTGAGCTGTATGCTCAGCCCCTAATTTTCTCATTTCTTTTCTTGCTTTTCCTCCCCTTTCCTTTCCCTGCCTGTTATTCATTGCGATTTATTTACTTATCTGAGACAGGGTCTAGCTCTGTGGCTAAGGCTGGCCTGGAACTCTCTATATAGAACAGGCTGGCCTTGAACTTGCACAGGCCTCTTCCCTGTGCTTCCCAAGTCATGAGATTGCAGGCATGTCTCACCCTGCTCTGCTTACCTGAGTTATTAAAAACAAAACAATAAAAAAAAAAAAACACACCTGAATCCAAACAGTAAAACCAGAATATTGGAAGACTGAAAGCTGTCTTCTCTTCCCGAAAAACCTTATTCAGAACTAATTTTCAAAGGAAAAATAATCCGGGGCTGGAGAGATAGTGCAGTGGTTAAGAGCACTGGCTGTTTTGCAGAAGACCCGGGTTTGAATTCCAGCACCTTCAAGGCAGTGGCTAACTGCCTATAACTCAAGTTCCAGGGTATTCAATGCCCTCTTCTGTCCTCTAGGGGCACTGCAGGACAGGGGTGCACTTCATACACATAAAATAAATAAACAAATATTTTAGAAAAGGAAAGAGAATCAGCACTAATCTTATGTTAAGACATATAATGTCATAAAGGGGATATCAGTTGTATCAGTAGTTAAGTCAGTTTGCCTACAAGGGTCTGGAGAGATGCCTCAGCAGTTAAGAGCACTGGCTGCTCCTGCAGAGTACCAGGGTTTGATTTCTCAGCACCCACAAGGAGGCTAACAGCCATCCATGACTACAGTTTCAGGGGATCCAGTGCCCTCTTCTGACCTCTGTGGGCGTTGCACAATATGGGTGCACTTACACACATGCAAGGCAATACACAATAAAAAAAAGTAAAAATAGGGGTTGAAGAGATGGCTCGGCAGTTAAGAACACTGGCTGTTCTTGAAGAAGACCCGGGTTTGAATCCCAGTATCCACATGGCAGCTAACAACTGTCCAACTCCAGTTCCAGGGGATCCAACAGCCTCTTCTGACCTCTGCCGGCATTTCATGATATGGGTGCACTTACCTACATGCAGACAATACATGCATGCACATAAAGTAAAAATAATAAATAAAATATTAAAAAAATAAAAAAAGCCGGGAGTGGTGGTGCACACCTTTAGTCCCAGCACTCGGGAGGCAGGGGCAGGCAGATCGCTGTGAGTTTGAGGCCAGCCTGGTTTACATAGTGAGTTCCAGGACAGCTGGGGCTATAGGGAGACCCTGTCTCAAAAAGACCAAAAAAGAAAAGGAAAAGAAAAGATTTTTAAAACCCTATGCACTCAAAATTTACAGTATATGTGTGTAATGGCAAATTTTACTGGAAATAAAAAAGTCTAGATAAATCCATGAAAGGCAATGCAAATGAAAAATAGGATTATCAGCTCTAGAAACTGGCCAATTACTGATAGGACTGTATCCACACAATGAGATGAAACACTGATTTTAGGCTTTTCTGTCTGGAGGACGAAATTCAGCAGGGGAGAGGGGTTGGGATATTTTCTTCCTAGTCCAGACAAATGTATGGACCCTACAATAGGTGTATCTCGAGGTAAGACGCTCGCCAAAATACCAACATTTTATTTTGGGCTAGTGAGAAAGTAATAAATTACTTCCTTTTCTATATTTTTCAATTTCTATTTTTCTTTTTCTGTTTTTAAAAAAATTTTATTTATTAACTTTATTTTATGTGTGTGTATTGCCTGCATGTAGGTGAGTTACAGACAGTTAATTAGCTACCATGTGGGTGCTGGGATTTGAACCCTGGTCTTCTGCAAGAACAACCAGCATTCTTATCCATTGAGCCATCTCTCCAGCCCTTTTTGGTCTTTTTTTGAGACAGGGTCTCCCTGTACCCCCAGCTGGCCTGGAACTCGCTATGTAGACCAGGCTGGCCTCGATTCACAGAGATTGGCCTCTGCTTCCTGAGTGCTGGGGGAGGTGTGTGCCACCATGTCTGGCTCAAAAATAAAAATAATAAAAGGGTCAGGGGCGGGGGAGATGGCTCTCTGCCTGCCAAGCCTGATCACCTGGGTTCAGTCTGTGGGACCCATGGATGGAGAGAATCGACTCCCGCAAGTTGTTCTTGAACACAAGCATGCTAGGGCACAAGCGCGTGCCCGCACACAGACCCAAATAAAAATTTAAAAATAGGTCTGGCCTGGTAGTGCACGCCTTTAATCCCAGAATTTGGCGGGGCAGAGGCAGGAGGATATCTGTGAGTTCGAGGCCAGCCTGGTCTACATAGTGAGTTCCGGGCCAGCTGGGGCTACAGGGAGAAAAAAGAAAAAAAATTTTTTTTTAAATAGATACTCTAGAGTCTGTTTTCATTCTGACACCAAATAACTAGGCAAGCTTAGTTAAATCACGCTTTCAATGATCAAACTAGGATATAAAACCGAAATGCGAATAGCCCAAATCCCGCCAGGATTCCAATAGACAATCGGTCTCACCCTGCAAGTTCGCCAATGGAAGTAGTTTGGCCATTCCGGCTCGCCGTCCTTACAGCCTCCAGGAGCAGTCGTAGACTCCGCCCTCTGCGCGCCGTCTGGCGCGAAAACCCAATTGACAAGAACTCCCGCCGAAGCCCCGCGGCCCTACCTGCGCTAAGTCTGTTGTGCCCACTCCGCCCGGGCTCGCGCGCTCAGCCGGGGACACCCGCCTTGGGGACAGTGCAGGGGCCGGCCGCGCCCCGGGCCTCGCTGCCTGCACTTCCTCACCGCCTTCTCTGGCCTCGGCTGGGCCGAGCTGGGCCCGGACTTGGTTGCCCGCTTTGGGCCGCAGGGCGCGGGGAGCACCGAGACCCAGCGGCCCCCAGGTTGTCCCTCCGGGACCGGCCGCCTCTATGGCCTCCAGCCAGGCCGGGCCGGACCGCTGGAGGTCCTAGGAGCCGGGGTTCACGGAGGCGGGGATCATGGTGGGGGTCCTGACCATGGCGGCTTCAGCAGCTCCCCCTCCCGTGAAGGGCTACGAGATCGAGGTGAGGCCGAGTATCTGTCAGAGTCCTTTCTGCTGGTGTCGGGCGATTGAGGGGTGCCGGTGCTGGAAGACAGCTCGAGCTTGCATCTGGGACGGGAAGGGGGGCACATGATGGCCAGTTACGGGTTTGTATGAGGTAGTTGCGGCGGTGTGTGTCTTTTCTTAGAGTCGTGATAAAGCCCCTTACAAACACATTGGAATTCTGAGATTTTCAGTAAGTCCAGACTTAGGAAACCAATTTCCGACACGTTGGTGAAGCGTGGTGTTTCGGACTAATGACATGTCACGGAATACCTCAGGGTCAAGTTCTTTGTTCGTCATAAGAATCATAGAACTCTAACGATGAAAAGGATAAAGCTTTACGCTAAACCAGTCCATACAAATACTTGTTCTAGGAATTCCGTATAGAATGTCACTAAGGAATCAAGGGAGATACTTTAAGAAAACAGTTTCTCATGGCTGCAGAGCTTAATATATTGTAAAGAGTCTCAGTGTGACATGTTAATGTTCTGTGTTCACATTTCAGAGAAATACACTAAGCTGGAGATGTAACTCCTTTGGGACATCCCTTGCATGTAGAGGCCTTGGGTTTCCAAGAAATGAAGAAAGAATACTTACATTATTTGTTAAATCAAGTAAATTATTTAGCTTGTCTCAGGTGTAAAGGACTTCTGTCACTTGAATTATTTGATTTCAGGATGATCAGTTTTATGAGTCTTCTTTGCCTTACAGTTTCTGCTTTTGGTTCCCTTCTTAGAAAGCCTATTTCATAATGACATTTAATGTTTAGTATGGCAAAAGTAAAGACTTTTTACATATTATTTTGCTTAATAACCTTGTGAAAAGGGATTGTTATCTCTATGAAAGGTGATTTAAAAATATGCTAAATTGGAGCTGGAGAGATGGCTCCGTGGTTAAGAGCACTGACTGCTCTTGCAGAGGACCTGGGGTGGATTCCCAGCACCCACATGGTGGCTATGAACCGTCCTTAACTCCACAACACCCTCTTCTGACCTCTGGGGCACTATACAACATGGATACACTTACATATATGCAGGCAATATACATGCAGGCAATACACTCGTACACATAAAATAAAAGTAATAAATAAAATATTTAAGAGGGTGGGTCTTATGGAGCTGAGACTGTCCTCAAACTCACTGTGTACTTGATCACCTTGAACTTCTGATCCTCCTGCTCCACCTCTCCAGTGCTGGAATTACAGGCCTGTACCACTATGCCTGGTTTTATGAAGTGGTGGGGGTCAACTCCAGGGCTTTGTGGGTGCTAGGCACTTACTCTCCCCCAGCCCTAGTTAGGATATTGAAAATTATGTTTTCCTTGATCGTATTGTCAGGGTCATGATTTTCTGTCTTGAGCCTTATGCTCTTCTCCCAGTGCCTCTCTAGGCTTTGTCAGCCATACCTGGGCTCATTATAGTCTGTGTTTAAATTGCCTGAATGCAGGTATCATTACAGACTGCAAGTTATTGACATGACTAACACAAATGTGCCTATGCTTAGCATTAGTCACCTTGATGCCGGGAGGGTACTGGCTAGTGCAGAAGGTAAGCAGTAGCTGTTGTAGCAAATTAAAACACTAGACTTGTGGCAAGTGTTCTTTTGGTGATCTTTCACCATGATTTCTATTTGATTCAGTACATTTTGGCATCCTGGGCTTCTTAACTACATAATTGCTTCTTAGAAATCCTTAGAATGATGTGTTATTTTTAACTAAAAAGGTAAAAGCAAAATGGAATACAAATGTTTTATAAGTTGACACAGATCCCTACCCTGTGTCAGTTTCCACATACTTTGATGTATTCATTGTAGATTCTGTGAGATGGGTGGTGCTATTCAAAGGTAGTAAAAATAGGCCAGTAGGAATGTATATATTTTCTCGTAAGCATAGTGCTTTTAATTTTATTTCAGTATAAGCTATTGAAGTATATATAAACATAGTGTAAAATACACAAATTGAGTATCCAACTTTATATAACATTACAGTTTGAATGTAGGCCATGTGTGATGGCTCTTACCTTTCTTTAATCATAGCATTCAGGAAGCAGAGGCAGGTGATTCTCTGAGTTCAAGGCCAGCCTGGTTTACATAGCAAGTTCTAGGCTAGCCAGAGTTACATTGTGAGGCCCTGTCTCAAAAAAAAAAATTAAATATCTGTTTAACTTTAAATCTCATTTTCTTTCTAATGTGTCCTTTTAAAAAATATTTTATCTATTATTTTTATTTTATGTGTATGAGTGTATTGTCTATATGTATGTGACTGCACCCATGTCGTGCAGTGCCACAGAGGTCAGAAGAAGGCTTCGGATTCCCCTGGAACTGGAGTTAAGGACAGTTCATAGCCACCATGTGGGTGCTGGAAATTGAACCCGGGTCCTCTGCAAGAGCAGTCCGTGCTCTTAACTGCTGAGCCATCTCTCCAGCTTCGTGTCTTTATTTTTTTAACCTAAAGTGGCCTTCCTGGGCTGGGGCGATGGCTTAGTGTGTAAAAGTGCTTCTTGTGGACACGTGAGGACTTGAGTTCAAATCTCTAGCACCCATGTAAAAAGCCAGGTGTGGCTGTACAAACCTATAACCACAGTGCTGTCGGGGACCAAGTCAGGAGGCTGATTGTGATAGAGCAGGACAGTTGACATCTTCTTCCAGCCTCCACATGCTCCTTTGCATACATCTGTATACACCATGCACACTTACACATATGTACACAAATAAAGTGGCCTTTTTGGTTTTCTATCTAATTAACCCATTAAATCATGTTTATAATTCATATTTTATATTATTTTACTTGAAATAAGTGCTTTTCCCCCTTCTTTTAAATTGCTAGCCATGCAAAAAGCGAAGAAAAGATGATGACAGCTCTTCCTGTGAAACAATTACCAAATATTTATCACCAATAAGGAAGACTGGAGACAAGGTTTTCTCTCCACCAAAACCCAGTAATATTCTGCATTATTTTAGAAAGACTTCACCCACAAAAGAGAAGCTACAATCAACAAAAGAGTGCAAGACAAAATCATCTACCCCATTGCTTGTCAATAATAGCAAAGAATTTAAGAAGAAAGGAAAGAGAGTTAATTTGTCTCATCAACTGAATAATATTAAGGTTGAATCTCCAATTGAAATTAATAGTGATGATAGTAAAGAGGATTGTAGTTTAAATGATTTTGTGGAAAGTAGTACTTCTGTTTTACTTTACAGGAAACATGTAGAGGTTCTTGGGGAAAGCATTCAAGATAGTAAAAACCAATCAATTAGTATGACTTCCAAAACAAAATTTAAGAAAGTAAATTCTAAACAAGGTACCACAAAAAATAATGGCAAAAAGTTGAGAAAAAGGAAGTATGGTGATGTAATAGATCTGTCTGAATGTTTTCCCTTGGTAGAAGAAATAAATCTGCTTAAAAAAGATGGTAAAAACAGTAAACAGACACAACCTTTCCCTGTTAAGGAGAACCAGAGGACTACAAATCATGCATGCTCCAGGGATCATGTAACTGAAAGAACCAATTTAAACGATAGTACAATAACGGTCTCATATGAGGAATTTTTAAAGAGTCACAAGGAAACTAAAGTGGAAGAGGTACCTGACTCTGCATTGCCAATTTGTGTTCCTTCTGAAACTGTTGAAACAGTCAAAAGTGGTTATGTAAATGAATCAGAAAACTGTGAGCTATCTCAGCAGGTACGCTATAAGACAGTTACTGTTCTTGCACAAGTTCACCCCACTCCACCCAAAAGGAAAGGGAAAATACCCACAATTTTCTTGAAACAAAAACAATCTGAGATGGAGAGTAGTCTATCAGATCCTGAAAATGAACAGACAGTTCAGAAAAGAAAATCTAATGTTGTTATACAGGAGGAAGAATTAGAATTGGCAGTGCTGGAAGCTGGGAGTTCTGAAGCCTCAAAACCAAAATGTACCCTAGAAGAGAGACAGCAGTTTATGAATGCATTCAGGCAGCCGCCATCAGAAACACCTAAAGATGGGGTCAAGAAACCTTTGGATAAACAGAAGGACCTCAGTGAAAAATCTTCAAGTGAAGAAGGCGAAAATAATTCCCAAAAAACTATGGAAAATCCTAGTATCCCAATGTTTTCAAATCTTGGCAATTCACAGTTATTCATTGACGAGGAAAGTTTTCCTAAGGAGAGAAGTAAAAAGCTCAAGAAACAGGGTAAGAAAACATTAGCTATGAAGACTACTCCAGGTGAAAACAGAGAAGAAAATATGCCAAAGAAAGAAGCAACCTTTTCCTTAAAAGATAAACAAAATCAAAATAGCCTTAGAATGAGTTTAAGACAAAAGAAATCAGGAGCTGTCAAAAGCAGTACGTTGTTTAACAGTGGAAGTCTTGTTTGTGAAGCTATAGCAAATGGCAATCCTCTAAAAACTTCGCTGTGTGACAAGAATAAATCATCAAGAAAAAGCAGCACACCAATCAGGGATAAGGTCACACACTCTAAAGCTGAGCCTGAAAACAGACCTGTCAGTGCCTCCACATCCAAATCCATCAGGAGATCTATAAGAAGTAGCAGTAGACCTGCGATGAGAACCCTTGGAGGTACTGATTCTGAAGGTTCCCAAGATGCTAGTCCAGTGAAGACTTCCACTCCAAAAGCAGCTAGCATGTCAGAAAAGCATAGCCTGTACATGGCGGAATTAATAACGGTACCTTCCGATTCAGAGAGCCCCATTAGGTAAAGTTCTGTTTTTGTTCTGAAGTTGCAGCACTCTACATGTGTTATTAACTGGGAAGGGAACTTCTAGCATTGGAGTTTTGTTTTTTTTCTAGAATGCAGTTTATTATAATACTATTTTTTTGTATGTATGTAATCCTCAGGATTGAACCTAGAGTCTCTCATAGTTTAGGTGAGTACTCTACCACTGAGCTATATACCCAGCCCTCAGTTTCCCAAGTAGTTGGAATAACAGACCTGTGCCACCAGCCATGGCTTATGTAGCCCCAGCTGTCCTGGAACTCACTATGTAGACCAGGTTGGCCTTGAACTCACAGAGACCCACCTGCCTCTGCCTCCGAGTGCTGGGATCAAATGTGTACACCACCAAACCTGGCTCTGCCATGTGTTTTCTTGAAATTCCTAGATATTACATGCATGTGGCAGTGTATGAGTGTATTGCTTACATGTATTGTATGTAAGTGTACCTGTGCTGTGCAGTGCCCTTGGAGGTCAGAAGACGGCATTGGATCCCCTGGAACAGGAGTTCCGGATGGTTGGTAGCCGCCATGTGGGTGCTAGAAATCGAACCTGGGTCCTTTCCAAGAGCAGTCAGTGCTCTTAACTGCTGAGCCAGCTTTCCAGCCCCCTCATTTGCTTGTTTTAAGATAGAGTCTTAGCCAGTAGCCCAGGCTATCCTGGAATGCACTATGTAGCCCAGGATGCCTTCTTGAGTGCTGGAATTACTGGTATGGGCCACTATGCCCAGCTTTATTCATTAATTTATTTAGAGATGGTCTTGCTATATATACCAGGCTAGTCTTAGACATGGTCCTCTTGCCTTAGTCTCCCAGGTGCTAGGATTGCTTATGTACCACCACACCTGGTTAATAAGCTGATTATAATTTCTGAAGAATTATAGACAATATTTTAGATGAATTCTAAATTCTTATTAATCACAGTTGGTAATCCTTGGAGAAATAGCCTTCAAATATGAACTGTGTATAATTATCAAATATAAGATTAAAAAATAAATCATAGCATGTTCCTTCATAGGTAAACTGACCAATAGACTACTGGGAGTTCTGGGGTCCAGCCATCTTGGTCTCCAACAATAGACAATGACGTACGCACTTGCGTACTGGATCTTTCTGATTTAAGAATGATTCTAGGGGCTGGAGAGATGGCTCTGTGGTTAAGAGCACTAGCTGCTCTTGCAGAGGACCCAGGTTCAATTTCCAGCACCCATATGGTGGCTAACAACTATCCCTCCAGTTCCATGGAAATCCAATGCCCTCTTCTGACCTCCAGGGGCATTCATTGTGCAACACAAGTGCTCTTACATATATGCAGGCAATACACTCATGGACGTAAAATTTAAAGAAATTAAAAAGAAATGATCCTAGGAACAGTCAGTTCCCCCCACCCCCAGGGGCTAGTTTTAATTTTATGCAAGTTTTTTTTTGTTTTGCTTTTTGTCTTTTTGAGACAGGGTCTCTGTAGCCCCAGCTGTCCTAGAGCTCGCTATGTAGACCAGGCTGGCCTTGAACTCACAAAGATCCTCCTGCCTCTGCCTCCCAAGTGCTGGGATTAAAGGTGTGTGTCACCATACCTGGCCTTATGCAAGAATTGTTATTTTTCCTTTTTTGCTTCCGATTTTTGCTGTGCTGAGGCTCAGACTTGCTATGTAGACCAGGCTGGCCTCAAAATCTCAGAGATCCGCCTACCTTTGCATTCTGAGTGCTGGGATTAAAGGCCTGTGTCACCAAGTAAGGTTTTATTGAGAAGAGTATACTTCCTGCAGCAGGGAGGGGTCCTTAAAGTGGGTTTCTCAAATTTATTATTTATTTTTAATATTTTAATTATTTTTATTTTATGTGTGTGAATGTATTGCCTGGATGTATGTGAGTACATCTGTGTCGTACAATGCCGTGGAGGTCAGAAGGGGGCTTAGGATTCCCCTGGAACTAGAGTTAAGGACGGTTCATAGCTGCCATGTGGGTGCTGGGAATCGAACCTGGGTCTTCTGCAAGAGCAATCAGTGCTCTTAACCGCTGAGCCATCTCTCCAGCCCCCTATTTCTAAATGCAGTACTAAATAGTTTGGGGCCAGGGATATAGCTCACTAGTAGAATGGTTGTTTAGCATGTAGGAGACCATAGGTTTGATTCCCAATGTCAGAAGTAATAAAAAGTTTGATTTACTTTTAAGTTTCATTTACTTTTGAATCAAATTGATGAGAATTGGGTTTTTTCCTTTTTTATTTAAATTGGAACTTTAATTAGTTTATTTCACTATTTAATTCAGATTCATATACATTATTACAAAAATGTTTCTAAATACTTTTTTCTTTTTTTTTAGAATGAAATTCACAAGAATTAGTACTCCCAAAAAATCTAAGAAAAAATATAAGAAACCTGAAGCAACTGATGGAGATCTTACTTCTCAGACTAGAAAGGTAAGGAGCTGGGCATGTTAGCACATGCCTTTAATCCCAGCACCTGGGATGGATCTCTGAGTTCGAGGCCAGCCTGGTCAATATGGTGAGTTCCAGGGCAGCTGGTGCTACAGGGAGACCCTGTCTCAAAAAGACCAAAAGAAGTCTTAATGGTTTCAGTCCTGCCAAACCCTAACTATACACAAAAAGATGAGGCCTGGATGAGATTAAGAAAAAGGAACCAAGAGTTCAGATGAATGGTGGCTCCTTCCCAATGGATGCCCCTTTGTCCAAGATCACCTGACCCATCCCATGCTTCATCAGTTCATGATTAAAAGGCCCACAATAACTGTTGGAACTAATAAGTAAAAGAAGAGTCATATATAATAAATTAGCTAACATAACTTAATGTTGTTTTATTATTGCCCATTCCTCTAGCTAGTTTATTTTTATTTCTTTATTACATTTATTTGTGTGTGTGAGTGTGTGTGTGTGTGTGTGTGTGAGTGTGAATATATGTGTATGTGTGCACATGCAGTCATGCCAGAGTATTCATGAACATACTGTGGTGTCAACCTTTGCCTTCCACTTTGTTTGATAGAGGGTCTATCTTTTTTATTTTATTTATTATTTTTAAGTTTTAAAAAAAATTAATTTTTTATTTTATGTACATGAGTGTATTGCCTGCATGTGTGTAAATGCACCCGTGTTGTGCAATGCCCAAGGAGGTCAAAAGAGGGCATCAGATCCTCTCAACCTGGAGTTACAGACAGTTGTCAGCTGCCTTGTGGGTGCTGGGAATTGAACTTGGGTCCTCTGCCAGAACAGCCAGTGCTCTTAACTGCTGATCCAGCTCTCCAGTCCCAGAGGGTCTATGTTGTTTTTTGTTTGTTTGTTTGTTTGTTTTAAATATTTTATTATTTTTATTTTATGTGTACGAGTGTATTGCCTGCATGTATGTGAGTGCACCTGTGCCGTGCAATGCTGCGGAAGTCAGAAGAGGGCTTCAGTTCCCCTGGAACTGGAGTTAAGGATGGTTCGTAGCCGCCATGTGGGTGCTGGGAATTGAACCCGGGTCCTCTGCAAGAGCAGTCAGTGCTCTTAACCACTGAGCCATTTCTCCAGCCCCATGTTTTGTTGTTTGTCACTGCATACTCTAGGCCAGCTAGCTTGGGAATCCACCTCCCATCTTGCTATAGGATTCTAGACAGGTATGTGCTACCACATCTGGCTTTACATGAATTCTGGGGTTTTGAACTCAGGTCCTCATGTTTGTGTGGCAAGTACTTTCCTTTTGGGTGTTTTACACACATGAAAATATGTTTATCAGGACAATTTCAAGTCAAAAAGGCAGATGAAATACATTTGCATTTAAGGTTTTTGATAAGATTTGAATTATCATTTCTTTGTTTATTATTAATGTAATATAAATATATTCTATTTATGTTTTGTGTTATTAAAAATGAAATATTTAAAATGTTAATCTAAATTAATAGTCTAAATTTTTGTCTAGGCAAACAATACTTCAAAAAATATATCAAAAGCAAAGCAGTTGATTGAAAAGGCAAAAGCTTTACGCATTAGTAGATCAAAAGGTACTGAAGAAATAGTGATACCTTTAAGACGTTCTTCTAGACATCAGACACTTCCTGAAAGGGAGAAATCACCAGAGACTGATGTAAGTATTAAAATCTTTATTGATACAATTTCTGTCTTGTTTTGTTATTTGGAGTGGGAGAAGGAAACTCACAAAGTTATACCCTTACAAACTTATAAGGTCACATTGTATGACAGCCTTGAAGTGCTGGAAAGAATGTCATTTTCAGCTCTGCTCTAAAGCCTTGGGTTCCCTTTTGCTTACAAAGTAGTCTACATCTTTCTCAGATCACTCAAGATCTTTTTCAGCTGAATTGATTCTTCTCATTCCTCAAGCATTTCCTTTTCTTTTTTTGGTCTTTTTGAGACAGGGTCTCCCTGTAGCCCCAGCTGTCCTGGAACTCACTATGTAGACCAGGCTGGCCTTGAACTCACAGAGATCTGCCTGCCTCTGCCTCCCCTGAGTGCTGGGATGAAAAGCATGCGCCACCACACCTGGCAGTTTTTTTTTTTTGGTTTTTTTTTTTTCGGTCTTTTTGAGATGGGGTCTCCCTGTAGCCCTAGCTGACCTGGAACTCACTACATAGACCAGGCTGGCCTTGAAGTCATAGAGATCCACCTGCTTCTGCCTCCTGAGTGCTAGGATTAAAAAAGGCATGCATCACCATGCCCAGCCTACCTCAAGCAGTTCTTAAATATATTTTATTTATTATTTTGATGTTGTGTGTATGAGTGTTATCCCTGAATGTATATTAGTATACCTGTGCTGGAGGAGGTCAAAAGAGGGTTTTGGATCCCCTGGAACTGAAATTACAGACGGTTGTTAGCTGCCATATGAATGCTGGAAATCGAATCCAAGTCTTCTGCAAGAGAAGCCAGTGCTCTTAACCACTACCATCTCTCTGGCCCTCTCAACAATACTTTACCACAGTTAACACAGATTTTTCATTTCTTCCCAGATGCTCACTTTTTTACTGTTTTCACCTTGAAATAGACATTCAAAGTACTGTTTTCTACCTGAGAATTTCTTTCTCAGCCTTTAAGATCCTGCTAAAATCTACTACCTCCTATTTTTTTTTTTTTCTTTTGAGATAGAGTCTCACTGTGTAGCCATGACTAATCTTGAACTCACTATGTAAACAAGCTGGCCTCAACTAAAAGAGATCCACCTGCCTCTGCCTCCTAAGTGCTGGGATTTAAACATGTTGCTACCATGACAGCTTAGAATATTATTATTACTCCTGAAGAGGATACCATTCCCCTTTGCTGTCACTTCCCAATCCTCCCAAGGCAACTACTTGTCTGCTTTCTATTTCTATAGATTTGTCTATTCTGGACATTTCATAAAAGTAGCATATGTGACATTTATGTGATCCTTTGTGTCTGGCTTCTTTAGCCTGTTTTTATAATTCATTCATGTTGTAGCATTGGTATTTATTTCACTGTAGCCTACCCTTGGTTTTTTGTTTTTTGTTTTCTTTTTGTGAGATACAGTCTCGAGCCCATGCTGGCCTGGAACTTGCTATGTAGCTGAGAATGACCTTAAACTCCTGATACTCCTGTGTCTTCTCCTAAGTGCTGGAATTACAAGCATGCACCACTACACAGAAAGTTGTTTTTTTTCACAAAGAAAGCCTGTGGTCAGATGAAACCCACTCCTTCACATCATATAAAAACAGTGAAGTCAAGCCAGGCATGGTGGCACATACCTTTTGGCAGAGGCAGTCAGAGCTCTGAGTTCCAGGTCAGCTGGGGCTGTAGGAGAGACCCTGTTTCAAATAAATAAATAAATAAATAAGCAAATAAACAAATAAATAAATAAGCAAATATGTAAATATAAGTAAATAAAAGTAAATAAGCAGGCCGGGTATGGTGGCGCATGCCTTTAATCCCAGTACTTGGGTGACAGAGGCAGGCAAATCTCTGTGAGTTCAAGGCCAGCCTGGTCTACATAGTGAGTTCCAGGACAACTGGGGCTACAGGGAAACCCTGTCTCAAAAAGACCGAAAAAAGAAAAAGTAAATAATAAGAAGTAAGTAAAAGTAAGTAAGTAAGTAAGTAAATGTAGTGAAATCAGCTTAGACACCATTCTCTCATGTCTGATGGGAAATATATGGAGTTGCTGATTTTTTTGCGTACGGGATTTCTCACTGTAATGCTTTTCACATTTTAACGATATTGTGTGATACATAGTAGTTCTGCAGTTTGTGATTTTGCTTTCCAAAATTTTGCTTGCCTACTGTCAACCTGTCTGAAAATATTAAATGGAAAATTCCAGAAATAATAAGTAGTTGTTCTGGGTAGCTTGGTGAAATTTTGTGCTGTCTTACTCTGTCTGACCTGGGATTTTGTTATTGTTATTCTTATTTTTTTGTTTTGTTTTGTTTTTTGTTGTGTTTGTTTGTTAAAGACAGTATGTCCTGTAGTCAAGGCAAGCCTGCCTGATCCCCTTCTTCTATTTCCTTAGTATTGGGAATACAGATCTGTGTCACTGGCAGTACTGGAGATTGAACCCAGGACTTCATGCATGCTAGGCAAGCACTGTTACCAACTAAGCTACCTCCCCAGCCTCTTAGGGTGTTAATTTTCCCTTTTTCCAGTGTATCTGTGCATTATATGCTACTGTCTCCTTAGTTAATTAGTAATCACCTCAGTTATATGATCAACTGTGGCAGTATTATGGTGCTTATATTTAAGTATTCATATTTTGTTAGCAGTGGCTCCATAATACAAGAATAGTCATGCTAGAAAATTTGGTCCACAAAAGAGAAATCATAAATTGCTTCCTTTAAGTGGAAAAGATGAAAATTCTTCAGTTAATAAGGAAAGAAAAAATGCTGCCGAATGGGGTGGCAGAGGCAGGCAGATCTCTGTAAGATCGAGGCCAGTCTGGTCTATATAGTGAGTTGCAAGGAGACCGTCTCAAAAAGACAAAAAAAAAAAAAAAAAAAAAAACAACAAAAAACCTATATGCTGAAATTGCAAAATCTGCAGTAAGAATGTTTTCTCTGAAATTCTGAAGAAAATTCCTTCTAGTTTTACTGTTACACAATCTGCAAAAGTTATAGCCACCATGTGTGATCAGGTATGTATGTACAAGTAAAAGAATTCAGAACTATCTAAGGTTTTAGGCATTTGCTGGGGTTGCTAGAATATATCTTCCGTGGGTGGAAAGAGTACTGTGTTAACTTTTGTTTTTCTTATTTTTGTCTTAGGATTCTGTAATACTAATAGATTCAAGTCTGACTTCTCTAAAACAACCAGAGAAAAATCAGAAGAAACTTCAGTGTTTGAATGATGTACTAGGAAAAAAACTTAAGCCTTCTAAAAATGTACCTGGTAATCAGATTTAATACCATTTATGATGACTAATAGAATGTTGGGAGGTTATTTTGAATGTTCTCCTCATGCAAATTTAATCTTCTGTCTTTAAAAATAGAAATTTTAGGCTTTTTTTTTTTCTTTTTTCTTTTTTTTGGTCTTTTTGAGACAGGGTCTCCCTGTAGCCCCTGCTGGCCTGGAACTCACTTCGTAGACCAGGTTGGCCTGAAGCTCACAGAGATCCACCTGCCTCTAGAATTAAAGGCGAGTGCCACCACACCCAGCTTTAGACAGAATCTTATGTTGCCTGACTGGCTTGGAACTTACTATATAATTGAGGCTGGCCTTGAACTCCTGATCCTCCTGCCTCCATTTCCAAGTGCTAGAATTCTAGGTGTGTGCCAGCCTGCCTGACTTATTTTTTCAGTTTACTAAGTAAAGTTCTGATAAGGTGAAGAATTTATCAGAAGAAAATTGAGCACATTGTTTATTTTTAAAATTTCTTTTTGAGCATGTTTTAATTTATTGTACTTCTGTATTTAGTCTTAGTTAGGTTAGTGGTTCCCAAGCTTTACAGATTATCAGATTTCTGGGTTCATTAAATATTTATGTATATGTATATGTATGCATGGGCACCTATGAGGACACTTGTGAACTTCAGGAATTGGTCCTTGCCTTCTACCTTGTGGCTTCTGCATGAACTCCAGGGATCCAAACCTAGGCTGTCAGGCTTGGGAATCAGGCACCTTTATGTGCTGAGCCATTTTCCCACCCCAAAATACTTTTCTTTTTAAGAATTTATTTTAATTTTCAATTATGTGTATGTGTGTGCCTGTATGTGGGTATGTGCATTGAGTGCAGGTGCCTGCAGAGGCAAGAGTGTGTCTGTCAGTTCCATGGAGCTAAAGTTGCAGGCGTTTTTGAGCCACTGGATATGGGAATGAACTTGGGTTCCCTAGCAGAGCGGTATGTTCTTAACCACTGCTACTGAGCCCTTTTTTTTAAACATTAAAACAACTTTAGGTATTTCCCTAGACATGTTGGGTAAGCTCTCCAAAAGGAAATCATGGGATTCTGTAGTTAAAATTGAAAGTTCCCTAGGAAATTCTGATAGTAGTAGGCTGATGAAACAGTTTATTGTATAGAATTTTACAATTAAAATGTTAGAGTTTGGGGCTGGAGAGATGACTTAGTGGTTGAGAGCACTGACTGCTCTTGCAGGGGACCCAGGTTTATGTTCTGGCACCCCCATGGTGGGTAACAGCCACCCATAACTCCAGTTCTAGGGTATCCAACACCTTCTTCTGACCTCTGCAATGTGTGGATATTGCACATCATGAGTGTACTTATCTACATGCAGGTAATACTCTTATACACATTAAAAAATAGTGCATAAAATAGTTCTTAAAAAATTTTAGATTTTTGAAAATTTAAAGAGATATTTTTGAAAGTAGCTAAAGGTAAATGGAGATGGTAAACATTTAGTACTAACGTCAGTATTTATTCTTCTAAGGAAAAATGAAAATCGCTCCTTTATTTCTTGCCAAAAAGGCTAAACAAGCGGCCGATCCTGTCCTTGGTTTTGATGAAAGCAGGTCAGTCCAGTACAAATATTTAAACATCAGATATTTTATGGAATACATGTTGTATTTATTTGCTTACCTTAATTAGAAAGAATGTCAATGACTGATTGAAAATTTGTCTTTGCATGTGTATGTGTGGTGTGCTTGTATATGTATGCATGGTCATACGTTTGTGTTCACATGTGGAGGCCAGAGGCTGATGTCCAATGTCTTCCTCTAGTGCCCAACTTTTATGTGGGTACTAAGCATCCCAACTCCAGTTAAATGAAGGGCCTTATCTATTTGAGTCATCTTCCCTATTTAAAGTTTTAGTAAATCTATTTTAGAAAACACTATTGCTGTTGAAGGTCTTAGTTTTTTTAAATCAGTCAATGCAATGCAATTTATTAATCAACAAAGGAGGAAATCTATGTAATCACAAAAATAAATGTAAAACAATAATGAAATTCAGCCTATGCTAAAACTCTTGGCATAGTAAGTATGAAAGGTCTTAGTTTTCTGTAACAGCTTTGTGACTATCTCACGCAAAATAGCAGAATAATAAAAAAAATGAAAAGAATAAAGCTTCATTTATGATCCTTATTCAACAAATTTTTAAATACCTTCTGTGTACTGGGCACTGTTTTGGCAATCAGGTTATTAATGGGCTCAGGCAAGACACATTTCCTGTCCTTGTGAGGCTTATATTCTCTAGAAGGAAGACAGCATATAATTTATCATTAACTGGCTTAAATGAAAAATTGACTTTGTGCTAAGGAAGGGCATAAAATTTTATTAGTTTATGTTAAGGAGATTTTGTTTGATCATTTTCACTGACAAAATGACACCTGAACTCTGAAGGAAGAAAATTAACTTACCAAACTTTGGGAGTTCTAGCTAGAAGGAACTATCTGCAAATACCTGTAGCTGCAAGGAATGTGGCAACTACCAAGGACTGAAAGAATGCTAGTGTGACTTGAGCATAGAGTGAGAGCAAAGGTGAGAGGAATTGATACTCACTGGAGGAGTGAGTACCAGCCGTGTAGGAACTTTCTCCATGCTAAAGAATTTGCTAAGAGCATTGCAAGTCCCCAGAAGGTTTTAGGCATGAATATGGATTGAAAACAGTTTTAGATTATGAGAGTTTAAGGTCCTGCTAGATGTGTCTGTCTCATGACTACATAAAAAATAGGCTAGACATTAGGGATGTAGCTAAGTTGGTAGAGTGCTTGTCTAGCATGCATGAAGCCCTGAGTTGGATCTCCAGCACTGCATAAACTGGGGATGGTTTGGTTTGGTTTGGTTTGGTTTGGTTTGGTTTGGATTTATTTATTTATTTATTTATTTATTTATTTATTTATTTATTTGATGAAAAAGAGGTTAAAGGGGCTAGAAAGAGTTTGATCTCCAGCACTGCATAAACTGGTAATGGTTTGGTTTGGATTTATTTATTTATTTATTTA